GTTAGCACAGAGCCCGATGTGGGGCTCGAACTCACGAACTGTGACATCATGGCCTGAGCTGAAGTCAGTAGTTTAACTGACTGAGCCACCCAGGCACCCCTCTTTAACGGGAGTTTCTAATTAAAGTTACAAGGAAATGCTTATTAAAATAGAGATTCCTGATGATTTTAGCACTCACAAAAGTCTAAGAACTGGTGTTTTAATATGGAGAAGGGTATTTGCTGATAAAATGGGGTTAAGCTAAAAATTAGGTAAGTAGTAATACGAAAAACCAAAAGCTACAGCATGTTTCACATTTTATTGACTCCTCAATAGGCTGCCCCCTTTGGTAGGATTTCATAATTTCCCAGAGACAAGCCATTTTTCAATAATGGGTTTTCTTCCTCCAATAAAGGTTTTGCTCAATAAAGTTATTTCTGCTTCATTTATGTTTCCTGCAAAGAGCATTCCAAATGAAAGGTTAATTTATTTGGAACTCCCAATCACCCATAAGAGGAAGTCCAAAGTTAAAAAAAAGAAGTTAATGAGTTTTCAGCACTAGTTCTGTCGTTATTACCCGGAAACCATAACTACTAGATAAGATCACCGATGATGGGCTCCTGGAGAGTGGCCAGTGCAGCTATGCTGAAGAGTGCTCGCTTTCAGGCTCTGCCTGGGCATGTGAAGGGAATGAGCACCAGTGTGACATTCAGGCAGCTGCTGGGTGACAAGAGTAGGTAAGTGAGTCACAAGTTGGGAAGGTTAGAGAAAATGCCTCAAAGAATGTGTAAGCTCTGCCACCAGTTGAGCTTCAGATTTCTGTCTCAAAAATGTGGCCTAAATATAAGCAAGTTGAGATGCAAACAGAAGGTGAGCCAGGCTGGGAAACAAGGACTTTGAGATACAGGAATCTTAGAAGCCGAAGACAGTGACAGCATTCAAAAGCTGTTGAGAAAAATGAAAATGGAAAGATGAATACGCAACATAGAAGGTATCATTGTATTATCATTACAGTTTTCAGGGAAGCAAGAGAGTGACTGAAAGCACACTGGTTTGGGAAACAAAAGATCCAGGTTTCCCCCCAGCTGTTACCAAGGGACCCTAAAACGCCTGGCAAGGTAAATAAGTTCTCTCTGAAAGGAAATGGTTGAGCTAAATGATTTCTAAGGTCCTTTTGAAGTGTAATTGATATTGATATTCTAACCCATGCCTTGGTTATACAGAGTGACTGTCATCGATACGTCAACGTCACCTTTTAATTAATGTAAATGTGTATATCTTCTTGTCCTTATTTGTCTGTACTAATGAACTGTCAGGGGTATTAACCAAATTGAAATGAATTCACAACAAAATCAATTACTTTTTGACACTATTTTCTCATTTAACTCTTCTATTAATGTTGCCCAACCTTCTTAATTTACTTTTCCTTTTTCTTATATTTTTCTTCATAAGTGACACATATTATTTATTTCCATCTAAAATCTAAATGTATAAAACTGAACTATAAGTATGCAGACCAAAATATTATGTCCTTCCTGTTCTGGAAATGCAGTCTAGATAAAGAATACATTTATAGCATTGAGTTTGATTAGGCTAGTGCTTGCCCAAAGCCTTAGCTTGGTGAAGAAGAGGCAGGATTGAGAGTGGGATGACGGTGGGAAAGAGAGACATGACTCACAATATTTATTTAGTTTGTATAAATTCCCAAAGCATAAAAATATCCCATTACCAAAGGTTTGTAAGATCTACATGGCTAAGGAAAAAGGGATGTCTTGGGGTCATGCCATTAATTGTGAATTCTCTTTCTGTGCATCAACTTGGATCAAAATAGTCAAATTTAGAGACAGAGACATAAAAAGAAATTTGTGTTTTTTTGAGACCAGTAATGTATAGAAAGGAACGTATTTTAACTTACACCATTTACCCTCTCCTTCTGAAAGGTGTGAATCACGGCTTTAATAGGAAATCCCAAATGAATGTTAAGCTCCTCTTTGCATCTAAGAAATGATGGTAACATATTCCTAACAATGCGTCAACCAACAGTGGGAGGATTCTAAGGGGTGTAGGGGGGGGACTTGGAAGTCAAGTTCTTAGAGTGGTTTTCTATTATTTTGGTGGCAGCACAGATGGATCTCTTAAAATATTAGAGCAGAGCCCCATATCTTGTTACAAGTTTTGTGGCATCTTAAAACCCATGATTCTTTCTGCAATTGCCTAAAATTAAACTATTAAAAACAAATTTCTTTTGTGTGTGAACTTTATCTTGGGGCCCAGAAACTCTTTTTAAATCTAAATACTCCTGGGGTGCCTGGGTGGCTCAGTCGGTTGGACATTCGACCCGGCTCAGGTCATGATCTCGTGGTTGACAAGTTCAAGCCACGCATCAGGCTCTGTGCTGTCAGCTCGGAGCCCGGAGCCTGCTTCGGATTCTGCGTCCCCCTCTCTCTCTGCTCCTCCCCTGACCCTGCTCTGTCTCTCACCGTCTCAAAAATAAAATGAACATTAAAAAAAATTTTTAAAAATCTAAATACTCCTATGACAGACAGCATAAGACTATATTATTCATATATTTCTAGGGATTGATTAAATAAATTTCTGAAGAATTTAAGAATAAGATGTGAAAAAGGACAAGTATATTTTGATGTGGAAGAGAATAAGCCAGAGTTTGGCTTCCCTGAAACCCTTTTCTGTTTATCTCAAGGAAAACATTATTTCTTATAATGTTGTCATAGCATTTTGCATGTAACATATTGTAATGTTAAATATATAACACGTACTATAGTAATATGTTCTCATAATTGTATGTCCCATGTTAGAAATGATGAGCTCGAGGATGGACACCATGCCTTTATACCTACTCCTACCCCCAATCCCTAGCTCAGTTACTGGCTGGCACATAGAATGTGTGCAATAATTGCTTATTAAATTTCAGGCATTGTGTTTATTTTACACCCTTTGTTAAATAATTTAAACCTATTTTATAGCAGAAACATCTGTTAAAATTTTTTACTCAAACATCTGGAGTAAAATAATTTCACTCTTTCTAAGGTCAGTGTTAAAATCTATCAGTATGAGTATTACAGCCTAAGTCTTCATCATAATTTGACTTTGGTTTCTAAGATCAGATATATGCACAAACTTTAGTCCTCCAAGTTTCTGGAGTAGGAATTTATAAAAAAGAATGTAACTATTTCTCTCTCTGCTATATGCTGTATATGTTCTTGCCAGTCAATTTCATCCTTAGAATTAGAAATGTGACTGGGGAGCCTGGGTGGCTCAGTGTGTTGAGCATCTGACTTTGGCTTGGGTCATGATCTGATGGTTTGTGGGTTCGAGCCCCGCGTTGGGCTCTGTGATAACAGCTCAGATCCTGGAGGCTGCTTCGGATCCTGTGCCTCCCTCTCTCTGCCCCTCCACCACTCACGCTCTCTCAAAAATGAATAAATGTTAAAAAAAAAATTAAAAATGTGACTAACATGACAGCAAAATCAAGGCCACTATCAGTGGAGGAAGCCCCATTTGATGCTGAGAGAAATGCTTATTGGGCAATGAAGTTAATGAGTGGGAAGGATCACTTAGGGCATAAGTAACAGAAACCTTTTTAAACAAAATTAAAAACAAATTTAAAAATGTTAGTAACTAGTATTACTTGGTGATTCTAATGTAAAGGCATATTAAAATACTTCCAAAGCAATTTCTCTGAGCAAGTCAAAACAACTAATGAACGTTAGAGTATGGATTCTCAAAACGTCACTATGAGAACTTTGAAAATTAAGTGTGAAAGAAATGAGGAATAACTTGTCCCATGTCAGTGGGTTTGCCAGAACAAAGTCCTTAGTCCCCATCTCTTCTGATGGAATCAGTTGAACTCTTGCTTTCCAGTATGAAAGGAACTTCCAAAGGAAGTTTAATCTGATACTGTTAACAGGAGCATGGCTCCGAATAGTCCTAACATTTTTTAAAAACACAACTTCTTGGTATTTAAAATGATTACGTGTAGAAGCAAAATGTTGAGCAACTCAACATATTCTGAAGTCCCTGTGCTGGAACATGGCGCAGCATTTTTAAGTTTATAATCCCCGTTTAATCATTTAGTCGAGATGTTTTTGTCAAGCATCATATGCTGTGCGTCAGAGCCTATGTTCGGCACTAAGAATATGAGAGACTGAAACAGCCCCCTTCCCTTATAATCCAGAGAGAGTAGAAAAGAGCAAGTAAGGCCACAAACAACCAGCGATTGCAATTCTGAAAAGAGCAGAAATTAGGGTACCAAGAGACAATGTGTTAGCTCCCCAGGCCTCGGCCGCTGGGTCCAGGAGAGGCCTGTGTCAGGTGGGGCTCCTACTAAAGTAACAGTGACTGCCCTCACTGGAGGAAATGGGTTTGGAGGAAAAATTCTTAGTTACTCAGACAGTGTCTTAGATGTGGTAGCTGTGCAAACAAAAGGACACCAAACACAACCAGGAAAAACAAAAGGCTAAAAATGCAAAACCATCCAACAAGAAATACAAATATATTTAAATACACAATAAAAAAAAAAAAAAGACTAATACTAACATGCTGTGTTCTTACCCCTATTGTTCCAAAACTTTCAGGCTTTCTTCTCATCTTTTTCTTGCACAGGTGTGTCCATATCCATTTGATCAGGTACCAGAGAGACTTGGGGCTCGGGATGACATTGAAGGGAGTGGGCAGAGTACCTCCTTCTTCGAAATAACTCATCCAAAGCTTTGTTCGAGCAAACTTCCATTCTATATCTGCATGGTCCTGAATGGGAGAATATGACAACTACTGACAGGTTTCTTAATTACTAAGGTGAGATAAACCTCACAGGGAGCCTGTAACCTGACTTGGAGCAGCTCTTGTAATATTAATTAAATTGCTTATAGAAACAAGACTGACTCTTCGAGGTAGTCATCTAAACATTTCAGATGATGGTTTACCCTGATAAAGAGTCACAGCAGTCTTGTCAGTTTTTATCCTTCCTTCTTCCATGAAACAGACGTCTAAAAGAATTCCATGTTAAAGAGCCTGCAGTGATCAGTTATGACTTGAAGACGAATTTTCATTTCCTGCACTGCAGGCTTACATTAGCCCAAGTGCACTAGATTCTGACCACAAATAGACCTTCATATATTCCCCAAGGCCTTGAATCCCAGTCTAGGTCAGTGTCACCTTCATGGATGCTCATGGCTTAGCCTTCTGGTGTTTCCAGGAAAAGTCTTAGTTGGTGTGTTTCTATGTGAATTATTCTTGTCCGCCTTTAGGCAACAGGCACAAATTTGGAGAGAAGCTCCTCTAACAAATGTAGAATGGGGCCTCTGACATGGCACCAAACCCTGACATAGCCTTGTCCAAATGGCACCAGACAGGACTGTGGTTAGTGGCTGTTTGCAACCCTTCATAATTTATTAATCATTTCACTTTATTAACCTCCTAGAAAAAATCAGAACATTTGTGGCAATTAGAGATAGGGCAGCCAGTCCCCTCTTAAATTAGCCACAAATCTGATTGAAGCAGAAAATCTGGGAAGTAGGAGGTGGTAGAAACTAGGCATATCAAAATAGTTCATTTTAACCCCTTGATATTGTAAGGAAGAACTCAGATTTTAGAGTGGGAGAATCACATTAGACCATGCTTCATTCTAATATTCTTAAATGGTTGTGTGCTAATGAATGCATGTGTTGCATATACATTTCTACCCTGAGCAATAGAGATTTTCATCTAGACACTGGACAGATTGTGCTTTCAACAGGAATCAGCATATCTGGAAACTGTGTGGCATTCACTGTGTGCTTTGCAGATGTTTGACTGGAGGGACTGATCAATAGACAGAAGCACAGAAGCTCCGGTTTCACCCCCCTATCCTCTCCTCTTCCTCTCCTCAAGTTCTCTTTCTGTTTCTTTCTAAACAAGCTTATAGATCCTGCATTAATGAAGAAAAGTATATATTGTTTGCTGTAGTCGTGGAGGATGGGAGTCAAGAGAATTAGCTTAAGCTAATATAAAGATAGTCACTTTGATAAAGAGTTGGCCTGTGAGTAGATTCTGCTCCTTCTGATTCTTAAGGAGTCACAAATTAAGGATTATGCTAACCTCATTATGTTCTCTTATTGCTATCACAAAGCAGACTTCCTGGGGCGCCTATGTGGCTCAGTTGGTTAAGCGTACAATTCTTGGTTTTGGCTCAGGTCATGATCTCATGTTTCTTGAGTTCAGGCCCTGAATCTGGCTCTGTGCTGACAGTGCGGAGCCTGCTTGGGATTCTGTCTCTCTCTCTCTCTCTCTCTCTGCCTCTCCCCTGCTGGCTCTCTATCTCACAAAAATAAATAAATAAACTAAAAAAAAAAAGGTAAACTCTTTCTTTGTTCTTGGTTTGGGATTCTGAGAGGGTCTACAACAAATTCTATGGTAGAAAAACTAGAAGTGAAATGTTATATATTGGTGATGACCAAAACCACCTCTGTTATCCAAGTGAAAATCAAATAGTTGGCATGTTCTTGCTCCAAGGAGGCATTATGCACAGGATTATGGGAGCTACACCTGTCTCAGGTTATCAATGCCTGCTCTCTTCTTAAGTAGTTTTAGAGTTTAAGCTAAGCAAAAACAGAGCTTCGAAGATCATTCTCACCTCTTTAAAAATCATCTAGAAAGATAAACCCTAAAAGCAGTAAAAACAAAAAAGTCATACTATCCTTAAGTAATATTGTCTTCTTGATGAAATCAATCCGTTTGATATTTTATAGGATATAAATTGTATATACAGCTTCTCTGTATATAGCTGGATAATTAGAGTCTTTCTAATTTTTTTTAGAAGGGTGGTCTGAAAAATAGAATCTACGTTTTGCAAATACACTGACCAGAATAATACAGAACTTCTAAGGAAATACATAGGGACTATCTTAAAAAATCCTCACTTGCAAGATGCTTAAGTGAAGCCCCATAATTTGGATATTCACCTGCAAATCCTAGGACCTAGGTATACCCAGCACTAATACTTTGTTTATGAATCAGAAAATAAAAATCATCTATTTTTATGTTTTATGTAGTTTTTCATCTGTGACAGGTATCTTGCCCCACAGAGATAGTTTCAGTAAAATTCAGAATGCTGTTTCTCAAAGTAACAATAATAACACTCTGGTGGTTTAGAAATAGATTCAAAGATGCAATATAATGGTAGTTATTTAAGGAGAAAATTATGGTTATAAATTATCCTTATAAAATGCTATTTGATTCAGGTATAAATATGAAAGACTTAAGTGTATTTCATTCCAATATGGGTTTGTTTAGTTGCTATTGCTAATGGCCACCGGCATGTATGTAAGTTCAAGAGGATAAAGAACTTTGTCTTTCTCATTCATTGTTGTATTTCTAGTTCCTAGAATAGTACTTGGTAATAGAGTAAGTTCTCAATAAGAATTTGCTGAATGAATGAATGAAAAGTAAACTAAATTGTTTAGATTCTAGAGTTTCAAATAAACATATATGGTATTGTGTGCTCTGCTGTAGAATTCAGGGTTACCCATACCTTGCTTTTTCTGGATTTAAGAAACGAAAAATACTGTAGATTTTCCCCTCAAACTCTTCTCTAGGCTAGCTTTTGTATCTTGCCAGGATGGCATAAGTTTGTTTATACCAAGATTGTAGGTTAAATGGACAGAGACAATGCAAAGTCCAAAGGGCTCTACACAGAGATGAGCCACTTGTATGTAATTCATACTTCCCTTGTGCTTTCATAGCCAATGACTGCCTAGCAAGACAGATTTACTTTATTTTATAATCATCCATAATATGACAAAACTAGATTAGTTTGTAGCTAAATATGGTATAATACTGTTTAGAAACTTCCAATTAACCATTTATATTATAATTCTGTTCTGTCCCATCAATAGCCTATTACAGGCTGTATTCCTTATGATAAATAAGATAGAGTGTGGCTAGGAACAACACATTCTAGGGGGGGGAATATTGAATTAAAATAAAGTTATTCAACTTACAGCAATGAGTTGGTACGAATTATTCATCATAGCTATTAACATGTTGAGTAGGACCACCAGAGAGATGACATTGTATGTCCCAAACATCGTGGCACCAACAAACTCAGTGAATTCATGCTGTGCTTTGACATTGGTCACATATAAATTGATGAGCCCAAATATTGACCAAAATAGGGACTGGAGTGTCTCAAATAACCTGTAATAAAGATAAAATGACACTAATAGCTATATTAATAGAACAATTATACAATAAGGTATAATAATAGAACTTGATTCCTATTATGTATATTTGCTTAATTAAAAAAATAAACTTAATAAAAAGTATTGAAGAATTACTAAATTAAATTTAATAAAAATTAAAGAAAGTTGTTTCCATCATATAGTATAAGTAGTATACTTAATTTTCCTAGTTTTACCTAATTTTCCCAAGAGCTTTGAAAGCTGTTTAGTTTCCTAGAGCAGGGACAACAAATCTGACCCTCAGACTGTTTCTGTATGGCTCGTGAGTTAAGAATGGCTTTTGCTTTTCAAACGGCTGGGAAAAAGAAATTCAGAAGAGCTACTTTGTGTCATGTGAAAATTTTATAAATTCACATTTCAATGTCCAAGGATCAATAAAGTTTTATTGATACACAGCCATGCTCATTTATTGATGGATTGTCTATGTTTGTTTTTTGTGTTGAAATGGCACAGGTGAGTAGTTGCAATAGAGAACATATGGCCCACATAGTTAAAATATTTGCTATCTTTTTCATAGAAAGCTTGCTAACCAGTGTCTTAGGGCATTAAGTGATGCCAATAAATGATCAATAAATGATATATCCTCAAGCTGAGTCTTTGAAAAATATCAACTCTGATTTTGCTTTTCAGTTGTAGAAGGATTGAAAATAATGTTATCACTGGATTTCCACAATTATAATTAAAATTGGGTATAGTGAATCCTGTAAGATGTCAAGTGTCAGCATGCTCAGATAATAAAATGTGCTATTTTTTTCTATTTCAGGGAACATTTAATTCATCCCTGTCAATGAATGAACTCTAAGTAAGGTTTCCTTAACTTAGTCCAAGAAGCAGGATAAGATGAAGAGTGTCTGAACCTAAATGAGGGAGTGTTGGTTTCAGTAGGATGGTTGTAACATCTTAATATAATGTAATAAAAGATAATGGAACTTTTAAACTCTTTGACAAATGGCTAAAATAAGTCCCTAGTCATATTATGTTGTAAAAATGAAAGCAAAAACTAGTCTCATATCTGGCCTGGTGACTAAGAAGATAGGATGTCAGGGGGTCAAGTGACCCAAGGAAAGCCAATTCATATGAGGCCAGGGGTTAACGGCCTAGATTGACATGAAAAAGGTAACCCTACACGATCAGATTTCCTCTCTATGAAAATTTGTCTTAGCAATATTAACAGAATGAGGTAGTTGCCAAAGGGGGCTGAAATGACAGAAGTTATGATGGAGACTCAGGGCCACTGGAATTATGCAAAACCAAAGGTTTGAGACAGCACAAACTAAGGGACAAAGAACTGAAGATAAATAAATAAGCCATGTAATAATTAAACACTGAAGAAAATATGCACAGAGTAGGTGACTCATGTTAGCACCGGTTTTCGCAGTCAATGATCTTGTGGTCCAGTTCTTTGTCATCTCCTGCCCTTCCTGAAGCCTTGCGTTCTGCCCTTGCTAAGATCAACCCTTGTTCAGAGGATCAAAGGGCTATAACTCTGTACATGGCTCTTGGACCAAATCCCTGCACTTGCAACCATCCATGAGTTTCTGGTCTGTGTAACTAGGAGAATCTAAGGATATCCTAATTGACATTCAGGGTTTCTTTTCTCAAATTTATTTGCTTTTTTTTTTTCTTAAAAGTAAATAATTTCACTTTTTTAATTTATATAATTAAGTTTTAATTATAGGATATGAAATGTAATTATGTATTGATATATTTTGCTATAGCTATTAAATAATGGAGCAAATTATCATAAAACGATAAGGAGACTGATCTGATCCATCTCAGTCAGACTTTGTCTTGCCAGCAGGGATGTGCATGTGAGGAGGTGGCCATGTATTCTTCAAGGGCAACCTACATGTCAGGTGCCATCACTATCAGGGCAAGTTTAATCTAATTCATTGGCCCTAGGCAAAAGCTACTCTTAAGTAATTCTTTGAAAACTTCCTCAGGAAGTACGTAAATTTGACCCAAGGCCATAAGTTCCTTATTTTTAGTAACTTTAAGGACAGTTTCTAAAATTAATTACTGTGTCATTTGGGCTCAATGTGAAATAACTTTGTCCTTTCTTTCTAAATGGTGTATATTCTCACTGTGAATATACAAATGTAATTCAGATGGTTTTCCCCTGACATCAGTAGCAGTTCAGAGACAGAACTAGAAATTACATAATGTAAGTGCTATAATAAATTATATAAAATGCCACATAAATCCCATATCAGTTGCTTTTTTAAATGTTCAGATAGAAACAGTGATGTAGAATAAATGGATGGTTATGGTTGAATAATACTGATTTGCTTCTGTCTAAATAAGAAATACTAATTATTAGAGAATATTAGCAAACCCTTTGGCAAAACATTTATTTAGATTTTTAATTAGACTTTGAAAAGAAGAAGATTAAAAATAAGACATTTTGTGATTAATTCTGGATTTAGTCCCTGTTTTTCTTTTCTTCAGTGAAATTAATCAGAAGTGAGATTTGCAGAATAGTTCCACTTATCCAAAATATATACACTTGACCTCAGTTGTAGCAATTTCTTACTTGACACATCCCCAAAGGCAAGGGAATTAAAAGCAAAAATGAACTACTGGGACCTTATGAAGGTAAAAAGCTTCTGCACAGCAAAGGAAACAACCAACAAAACTAAAAAAGGAGCAATCCATGAATGGGAAAAGATATTTGCAAATGACATATCGGACAAAAAAGTATCAAAATCTATAAAGAGCTCACCAAACTCCACCCGAAAAAACAAAATAACCAAGTGAAAGAAATGGGCAGAAAACATGAAATAGACACTTCTCTAAAAGAGACATCCGGATAATATGAGCACATGAAAAAGATATAATAAATATCATCAGGGAAATACAAATCAAAAACCACACTCAAGATATCACCCCTCACAGCCAGTCAGAGTGGCCAAAATGAACAAATCAGGAGACTATAGATGCTGGAAGGATAGGAACCCTCTTGCACTGTTGGTGGGAATTAAACAGGTTTTATCCTCTGGAAAACAGTGTGGAGCTTCCTCAAAAATTAAAATAGACCTACCCTATATTGTAATAGCACTGCTAGAATTTTTTAAGGATACAGGAGTACTGATGCCTAGGGGCACTTGCTAATCTTTTATAGCAACACTCAACAATAGCCAAATTATGGAAAGAGCCTAAATGTCCATCAACTGATGAATGGATAAAGAGAACTGTGGTTTCTATACACAATGCAAAATTACCTAAGCAATGAGAAAGAATGAGATATGGCCCTTTGTAGCAACGTGGATGGAACTGGCGAGTGTGATGTTAAGTGAAATAAGCCATACAGAGAAAGATACCATATGTTTTCACCCCTTATGGCGGATTCTGAGAGTACCCAACAGAAACCCATGGGGGAGGGGAAGGAACAAAAAAGAGGTTAGAGTGAGGAGGCAAAGCATGAAGACTCTTAAAACTGAAAACTGAGAGGGGTTGATGGGGGTGAGAGGAGGGTGGGTGATGGGTATTGAGGTGGGCACCTTTTGGGATGAGCACTGGGTGTTGTATGGAAACCAACTTGACAATAAATTTCATATATTGAAAAAAATATATACACTTATAGATTAATTAAGCCATAGTATCAAGACCTTGGTGTTTCTTATTTATATTTTTGTGTAATTATTCTTTTATTATATGGATTAAACAAAAAGAATCTAAGTTAACATTTTAAAGCCACTGCTTCTAGAAATGTTCCCACAATTAGTGATTCCCAAGACTATTGATGGCAAGATTACCCACTGATTGAAAAGTCATTAGCTGCATTACCTCTCAGACTTCCTTTATATAACAACTATTTTACTAATTCTTTGGTGAGATAAGAACAGAAAGGTTTGGAATGTAATGCCACACTTAATAAAATAATACTTAGCATAATACCCTAGTTGACTAAAGCCTGGCAATTTCTATGGTTGATGCTACAACACTGCTTTCCTAAAGATAACATTTTTGCCTCTTGCTCTTTAAAGGTATTTCTCAATTGCTACTTTAAAAAATTAGCTCATTCTCCAGTTAGATACTTACAACTAGAGAGAAAGAACAAGTAAAAAGGTAATGTACTCCACAGTTGAGGTTTCCCTCTATCCTTTGAAATAAAAACAATGAGGAAACATAAATTAATATAAGACACATCTGAATATTTTAGTCTTCATTTATAAGGAATAATGTAATATTAAAACAAATAATGTATGGGCTCAGTTGCCCAGTTCCAATTTTGAGGAATATATATGAAAGGAGTTTTTTTTAATGAGACAATATCTGTCCCAAACCCATTCCTCTCTCCTCATAGGAGAGTCCCTTAACAAGAGACTATTAATTTCAAATTGTATGTAGAATAATTTCAGTGACTAAATAACACTTAATGACACTTTCTTTAGTATCATATGGTTCTTCCCATGTTAAAGAGAAAACAGCCAGGAAGCTTGAAAAGAGCAGAAAAAAGTGTCCATTTGCTGGTGGGGAAATGAACAGAGAGACATAGAAGACACAGACTAGTCTGTCCAAAGGGCAGCTGAACTTACAGATCTTGGGAAGAGAGATCTGTGCTGGTGATAGGAACATAGGAGTCCTCATCCCGCAGACATATAGGGCTACATCCATAAGCACAGATGAGTTTTCACAAAGGTTCTGTAATATGGTCTGAGGATGGTCACTAAGGAAAGATCTTTATTTATTTATTATTTAAATTTCTTTTTAACGTTTATTCATTTTTGAGAGACAGAGCACGAGCAGGGAAGGGGCATAGACAGAAAGGGAGACGCAGAATCCCAAGCAGGCTCCAGCCTCTGAGCGGTCAGCACAGAGCCCGACACGGGGCTCGAACTCATAGACCACGAGATCATGACCTGAGCCAAAGTCAGATGCTTAACTGACTGAGCCACCTAAGCGCCCCAGCAAGATGACTATTTAAAAGCAGTGACTGCGATATAATTTTCAGAGAACAGTGAAAAAATTAGAGGAGTAAGAGATGAAGTGTAGGGGCGCCTGGGTGGCGCAGTCAGGATAAATCGACTCAGCAGGTGCAAGTCTCATGATTACGCTCAGTTGAGCCCAACTTCAAACTCTGGGCTGACAGCTTTCGAGCCTGGAGCCTATTTCGATTCTGTGTCTCCCTCTCTCTCTGCCCTCCCCATTCCGTACTCTGTCTCTCTGTCCCAAAAATAAAATAAAAACGTTGAAAAAAAAAATTAAAAAAAAAAAGGGATGAAGTGTAAAGACATAGTGGTGTTGAAATTTAAGAGGGCAAGATTTCAAAAGCAAAAGTGTTAACAGGGTCACACGATGCAGAAACATTAAATAAACTTTAAAGAGACAAGTGTTCCTTGACCATGGGGATATGGAGGCTCTAGGCATTTTCTAGAGTAGTGTTAGTGGACTGATGGAAGCAGCAGCCAAATTGCAGTTGGATGAAGAACGAATAAGAAGAAAACAAGGTGTCTTGTTCAGGCTTCCTTGAAGGGTTATTTGGCTAAAGGGAAGGAGAGAGACAGGAGTGGAAACTAATGGGAAACACAGGGCTCAGAGTCTCAGCATACATTTGCACCCTGAATGGAAGGAGTAATAGAGAGGAACCGTGTGAGATACAGGCAGGAGATCTCCTCATAATGATAAACAGATGTAACATAGCTAGCATTTTGTAAAATCTGAGTCTATGGCAGGCACTGTATTAGGTACTCTACATGAAGGATTAGGTTTCTTAATCCTCAAATGGAATAAGATCTCTGAAATGGTGGATAGTAAAAAAAAAAAAACCACGTTGAAATTTATGGAGTATTATAATTATAAAAAGAAGTGTATAGAAAGAAGTTATAAAAAGAAAATTGAAGACCAACCAAAGAAAAGAAATAAGATATAGAACAGGAGCCCCGAGGGTATTGCTAGACATCCTCTCACAATGACTGACACCAGTTATGTTGAAATAGAGTCATCAGAGTCAGGTCCCTTATACCTGCCTAGGATATTCTCTACATTCTAGTGCATTCTAATACTAAGAGTTATTGCTGTAATTTTTAGTTGTTGAATAATCTGTTGCTTGTAGGTTTACATTCTATTATCTGGAGAAAAAAAATTCAGGTGGAATACCTGATTTACTTGGGCTGAATGATTAGGACCTATAATATTTGAGATATGCAATTATCTGTTGCTTTTCATGATAATAAAGGACACCATTTACACTAAAATAATACACAATCCAAGCAGTTCAATACCTTTGCTTCAAGAATACTAGACATTTTGCCTCAGACTTCCATAGCAATGGAACTTCTTGGACAGATCTTAAAATTAGTTCATAATATGTAGAATCATTTACCATGAAAGTGGTAATAGGTCAGTGTGATTCTTGGGAACTTAGGGATCATAAATCAGATGTCTGAGAAGGGGCTGGATCATGGAACAAAAGCTGTTCCCTGAATTAAACACAACCTGGGAGGTCAGTCAGTTCTAGGTGCTGTGTGGAAGTTCCTCCTGGAAGACAAAGCTTGGAATCAGAAGGTTATGGCAACCTAGGGAGATGGGGCGGTCTTGGCAAGCAGTTTGCATTGGGGCACGCGGTACGAAGTAACAACGGAGTTGTGAAAGCCATGGTGAGCAGAAGGGCTCTCCAGCAGAAATCCAGAGACAGACAGCAGACAGTATCCAAGACGTTTGTTAGAGGCTGAATTTTGGTCCTTGAAGGGGGTTGGTGGGATCTGATTGTTGTAACTCCCTACTCTCAGTTGCCAGGAGCAAATTACCAAGTCAGGGGGCACAACAGAGTGGGGAAAGATCTCAGATGTAAAAATTGAGACACAATTCAGGGCCATGCTAGTCACAAGGACATTGCTACAAGGGGTTTCATTGAATCCCTCGCCTCCAGGGTCAGAAAAAGGCATGAGGAAGATGAAAAGGCTGAATAAACTGGTCAGCCTGGGCAGCTGCTGTCAAAGAGCAGAAGAATCAAGGCTGGGAGCAAGGGAAGCTGGGATGACCTTTTGTTTTCTCTGTGACTCATGGTTTGTATCAAATCTATTTCAGAAAGGATCTGAGGAAGTTAAGGCTGAGATTAAACTTTTATGTGCAAAGAAGCAGATGTTGATTAATTAAAATGGAGTTTTAATATTGGGATCAAAGACAAAACATACAGAATTGAATCAACAAGAATATTTTAGCCATCAGGGACTTAGTTTATGTGAAGTTGTTGAGTTCTTTTCCTACTTGAGAAATGACTACTCTCTTATGTTACATAAAATTCTATAATGGCCTGTGAATAGGGTCTGATCTATAGTCCCGTATGAAGTAACCATGTATTCGCTGGTAGTTCCTGTGTAGAGGGAAAGGACCTAGGTGTCTTCATTCCCCTGCTAATGAACTCTTTGGCACAGTTGTGTGGTGGTCATAGTGGGAAGGAAATGGGCACAGGCATGGAGAGGTGTATTCTTTAAGGACTGTGTGAGCATCAGACATGGGGGCATGGGTCTGTGCTATCAGCAAACCTGCCTGAGATCAGCAAGAGGTTGACACTGAATGAGGCCTGTGGCTCATCAGGCGTCAAGGCACAGAGAGTTCTGTGTGCATAAGGATGGCAGCCCAGGTTAGCCTGGGGTTCCTATTTTGGATCATTTCTACATGCTCACATTTTTTATGTAGGGAATTAGAGAATGAAAGAACAAGCAAAGGGACTTTCATATCTGGAAAACACAGAGGAACGCTCGAAAAGTACTTGGATTTTCTCACAAGATTGGTTTTACTTATATTCTGTCTTTTAATGTGCTTGTAAGATGCCACTAGGGCAGAGGTTTCCTCTTATTACACATTTTAAAACCAAATATACAGCTTTCCTTTATATGAGGTCACTTAAAAGGCCATTTTACTAAGACTTAAAATAAATGTAATGGAGATATATATAT